CGACCTGGATACCGTCATCTTCAACGGCTCTCGATCAGTTTTATTGTAATCGTCAGTCGAAATGCATATAANTAAAGAAAAAATCAAAAAGGGCAGTTCGAAAATGATTTAAAAATACACTTCTGCACGGCACTGGAAACTGGTCCACTGTAAAACCTGACCTCGCACAATGCGACCGGCATGGCGGTGTGATAAAAACGGACAAAAACTTTCGCAAGGAAAGAAATATGTAAATAGAATTTTATCGCACCTATTTTATATCGGCAAATTCAACTGCTTTTGCCTTTATTAATTAATAAAATTAATTTGTGTTTTTAAATAATAAAATCATTTGACATACCCGATGCTACAACAACTGTTCAATATTTTATCCACCAAGGTGTAAACACATTTGTTGTACGCAGTTTCTACGAACTAACACAAATGTTGTCTTGTTTCACCATAACACAAATGACGCTAGAGACTACAGTTGTCCAGCTATGTAGTGGTTGAATGTACTATAACTTCAATATTTTTTTCTCGGAAACTATAAGGATTTTACAAATTTTTTTTACAATATTGATTCCATTTCTCATGCTGCATCTATTCCCAAATATTTTGGATAAGTTGTGAATCACCCTGTATACTATTGCCTATTCTGTCCATTTCCCACTCCTCTCGCCCACCTCTATACTATTTTGTTGTTGAGCGGCTGTGTAAAGTTATTATACTATATAAAATATAAAAAGTTGTATCTGTTAATGAAATCAACAAATATGTATTCAAAAATTCCACAGCCAAATGATATTATGAGTTCACGATATTGTTTTATCTTTTGAAACGCCTTTTTCAAGACGTAATGGCGTAAACTACTGAATTTCTGAATTAAGAAACGAAGAAAAATTTAAAAATATTTTTAATTAGGTATAAGAAAAATATTAATAGATGTACACGGGGCAAAAATTGCGACGAATTAGAAATATTTTCGAAATATATTTCCCTTTAATTTAAGTACCTACTTGTTTTGAGAATTTACATGATTTAAATTTTCTTGTTTTGGTAGATAATTCAAAATTTCCCGAATATACAAACAAATTTCCCGAATAATCGTTTGAATGTTTATTACAAATGTATCCAAACGTTTTTGAAGTAGATAGGTTGAAAAACAAACTTAATATTTTGTACAGAAACGAGCAATTTCGTAATTTTTTTTATAATATTGCAAATGCAACTAAAAATTTCCAGATGCATCGTTTCACCTTGAAATTTTAAAAAAATTTGCAGGAGCCGCCACTGGTATGAACGTTCCTTCAGACGCAAACAAATATTTTTTATTGTTTACAATGTTGAAAACATACACATGATAATAGCTAGAAACAATAGTGGAAGTGTAAAATTCTTTATAATTTTCTAGGAAAGAGATAATGATTTACTGTTCAAACTCGTGACTATAGTTATTCACGATTTTTTTTTATGCCAAAGGTATCATAATTTGTACGGCGGATAAGATCAAAAATAAAAAAATATGTATAACTTTCAATATTACAATTAGGTACCACTTTTTTATATAAAGCGAAGGTATTTTTGTACCTTGCAAAATCGGTGGGACAATCATGGGACAATAATTTTGTATACCTAATAGCCGTGAGTATGATTTGGTGCTGCTTATACTATCTATGAAAAAAATCTTCGACAGGATCCCAACGTCTTTACTGAAACAGAGTTTTATGAAAATGCTAAAAAATACATATCTATATTGATTTATTTTATTTCCTTAATAATGCGATTAGTTCTTTATGTACCTGTTGCTAGGCTATCAAAATTCCTTGTTTTATGGTCACAACGTGATCATAAATGTAAATCATATGACTTTTTTAAGGCAGGGCAGATGACTGATGTTTTATATCCATTATATTGGCGAAGTCGCCGATAGCCTACTATGGAAGCGGCTTCTATGTAACCAAGACACATGATATACAGAGTGTTGGCAGTAAGATTACACCTATTATATTTTATACCACTGTAGTCGCAAAATAAGTAAAAATAAGCAGTTCTACCTGAAAAAGCGACAATTTGGCAACAATGATGTCATCGGCCGTGTCCTTTTATTCACATCATTGTGCGTAGTGCACTATTTTAAAAAGAACAACCTTTTTTATGAAAACGTATTTTGCTCAGTTGATTTATGCATAATGATTTCAATGCACTGTTAATCATGTTCTAAACTTACTATTTTAAAAAAAGATTGCAATCGGAAGCTTGCTATGTAGCATAATTAATTAATAAATGTGTATATTATGTAAACTAAGTTATTACTCATAGAATGACTCATAAATGATTATAGATGGAAAAAAATGAATCTATTAACCTGTTTCTGTTCGAATCCGAAGAAAACGTTGCATGTCTATAGATATTAAGTTTATTATACCATCCAAAATTTTATTGAATATTTAGTTCTAATTACAATTATTAATATGCACTTGCAGTTTCTGGTTTTTTGTATACCACAAACCTAAGAAAGAAGCTTTTTGAAATCTTAGACATAATTGCTGTTTTTGATGAGTAGTCAATTGTTATAATTTTAGCACTAATTTATTGCACACTCTGTATATCTAATAAATCATCAGTGGTATGAAATAGAGGTGGTTAAATAACAAATTGAATTATTTATTACTTGATCTAAAATATCGGGAATCAATTAAATTTTCGTTTTATTACGGAATTTGCTGATAATAAACAACGGATGACTCCTTCTTATCAAACGGAAATTTTTAAATCGAGACAAAATAGTACATTGTAATCACCACCCAGATTAGATAAGTAAGTCGTAAGCTGCACGATAACGACACGTTACATGTAATTTTTTATTTAGGTCAGAAATACCACTTATCTTGAACTACAGCGATAATATATGACTTTCAGTAAATATTTACAATTTCTTAATTTTCTTGAAAAATAATTTGGAATCAGTAGGATGTGGCGAAGCAGTTGAGTGAAAGAGTTATCAAGAAGTGCAAATAAAGATAAGAAATTTAAATATACTTTATAGTTTTCGATTAATATGATCATAACTATTCCTCTTAAATTAGAACCAAAAGTCATAAAGTTAGAGTTTATACTTTATTATTTACATCTGATAACTAAAAATTGATTTGGTGATTGAAGATTTGTGTACCAGTATCTTTTGAATATTCCTACGTCTAAAACAATTTTATCATCAATTTTATCGGGCAATTAAAATCATAAACAAACGAAAAGATCCTTATTCCTGGTAACACGTGGAAATTTTGAAATTCACATGAAATTAGTTCATTATCATTAACCGTCCGAGATAAGATAAGAAATTGTAGTCGTGTAAAATTGATAAAAATAACCATGTGATCTTTGGCACTGAAACTAATTCAGTTTTCAGTAAATATTTACGTCAGTCGGTTCCCCTGAAAGTTTCGTCAGCGTAGCTGTAATAAATGAAATTTAGTTTGTGCAGTGCTAAGCACTTGTCATAATATTAGGAGTGGTGATATATCGCTAACCCACATATGTGGTAAAAAGGTGGCTAATTTATTACTAACATTAATAAATAGCTACCGATGCATCCACGTTTCTGGAAAGTACATGAATTGGAAACGTGTTTGTGCAAACAAAAAGTTGCGAGAAAATAACAACTTACTCTTTTCCGATACACGCTTACTGATAAACGTTTAAATTGTCTCATAAATTCAAATTCAGTGATAAGAGTCATATGAACAATTTATTTATATCTTATCTTTGGTTTGAGTGTCTGTTGTATTCAAATAATGTGATTTATAAGCAGGTCAAATTCTATTAAGTTAATTTATTGGTAATTATAATGGAATAGGTAACTAGTGTAACATACTGCATGTTCAATTTTTCATTGACCTTAGGTAGAAAACTAAAAAAACCTCAAACAAACAAACGCGATAGGATCCTAGGCCCGAGCCTACTCGACTTTAAGAAAATACGGCACTGGTAACAAGCAGCTGTAACAATGAACTAAAGTCTGGGAAAGTTAGAGAAGCAAGCAATTATTTGTGCGTATGATGTCATTGTTACAAAAAATAAAGTTGAAAACAGTCGCACGCTACCAGCGTTAATTGTTGATTGTAGTTTGTTTTCAAAATATTTTTTCTAAATTGTATCTCTGTTATTTATTATGGTTTATTAATTTCCCACCGACACGCAAATGTAGTGCACTCTAGGAAACCGAGGTAAAAAATGATGTAGAATTTGCTATATGCCATTTAGGGCTGCAATTTTTTCTTGAAAATACTTACACAGTATGGCATACTCTTAGCTTTATCTGAAAGCAACGGACTTTTCTTATTGCGTACCTAATTGCAATACCTATCTACTGAGCCTTTTAAATTGAACCCGAGTATGTGTGCCACTTTGTTTACAAACATAAGGTTGTAGGTCCGGGTCAACTGTATTTAAAATGATGAAACGTACTATGAAAATGCAATTAACATAATCGTAAATGTTTGCAGTTAGTTTACTTAACATAGGGCGTTATGCCCGTCCTACATAAGCTGGAATCGATGATAGTGGTTTAGTCACTAATTTCGAGATTGGCGACGTCCTCAGTACAGTGAATACAGAGCTCTACGTTCGTATTTACTGCTTACTTTTTCTGGGCGACCGTATCCTACGACGTATTATTATAACATTATACTACGCATTCCAGTTCAGGCTGGAATCAACATTTACCCAACCATCGTCCGCTGCAGCGCGCGCAAATCGTGACGTATCCACACGCTGCCATTGGTGTTCCTTGCGCCGTGACGTCACCCTCGTAACGATTATCAAGCCAGACCTGTACCCCCCCTGTCCGAGCTAGTGAAGGGGCCCATGCATAACTCGAGATTCAGTTAGTTTTAGCGCTTCGTTCGTGTAGTGTTCGCGTGTGTCGTTTACCGCTAGTCGAGTAGTATGGCGTAGTGGTTCGCGCGTACCTTAGTGTTGACAGTTTTATTTTGCAGTGAGCGAAGGATTGATATTGACTTGTTAAGATGTCCGTCATGCAGATACAGCAGGCCAAGAGGCAGCAATGCTACTTGTGCGACCTACCCAGAATGCCATGGGCGATGGTTCATGATTTTTCTGAGGCCGTCTGCAGAGGATGCGTCAATTATGAGGGGGCGGACCGGATAGAGATAGTCTTGGAAACGGCCCGCCAGATGAAGCGGGCCCACGGCTTCCAGGAGCAACGTTCCGGCCACACCACCAAGAGCCACAGGACCGCCAGCCACGAGCATCAGAACGGGGAGGTGGTGGCCACCTCCAGCAGGCAGCAGACCGCTGCCCATCATTCTAACACGTACGGTTTGCACCATACCCGGTCGAACATGCTGGCTGAATACCAAGCAGCACAACCTCCTCCTCCCCCAAGGGGAAATTCAGCCATGTCACGGCCGCAATTAGAAACAAATCCGGAACATGAGACGTTGGTGGCGCGTACTACGGTCCGTTTGCCTAGCGCCGCTCATTTGGCAGCGGCGGCTCATCACCCGATGCAGACACATCATCATTCGACCAACGGTCGACCTAGTGCCATGGCCCAGCAAGGCATAAAACGGGGTCTATCCGCTACCGATGATGATGATCACCACGGTCATCATCATTCCAACGGCGATGTGAGCGGTGCCAAGAGAATGATGTCTGTGGAGGAGCACAGCAATGCCGTTAGGCCACCGCTTACAAGAGGGGAATCTTTGCCGGCCGTCTCTTTAGCTCAGCCTTTTGTAATCTCCACAGAAAGAACGTTCAAGCAGGAGAAACATCCTATCAGAACTGCCTCTTTTGACGCAGGAACTGGATTCAAACCAAACGGTACGATTTTTCAACTCAAAATTCTCTGTAAATGGCCTCTTAAGTAACTATTTAGTCAGTTCTGTAAACGCTTTCAATTTTTCCATTCCAAACGGTATAACGTACCAAAACTTAAAAAAAAACATTAATGCAATACTTCATTAATGCATGTAAGCAAATGAATATTTTATTCAATCTCTGGTACAGCCTTATAGGATATTTTTTTAATGAAATAACTCGTCGACTATTGATCCCAACAAAATATTCATAAGCAAGGCTTATGAATATTAATACTCGAGCACTTTTTAATTAAATATTCTATATTTCTCAGTGTAATACCTATTTGATGCATAATGAAAGAAAAACATTTAAAAAATGATGAACGAGAAACGGTAATGTGCAGTGTGAAATTTTTTTTAATGGTAATTACAAAAGTTGTTAGCTGGCCTCAAGAAAAACGTATATTGAAGAACTAATTTTAGGTGTGGTGTCATGTTAACTTAGGTGTTTTAATAATGTCTTTAGGCATTGATGGCCGTCATAGCTGTAACTTTTTTTTCTTTTGTCATTTGTCGAGATTTTTATATTGCAATCATACACTTATCGGTGTTAAAAACTTCATATAAGACTTTTAGTATGTACCTAAATCATATTTGCAGTTTATTGCCTAGTGCCAAATAGGTACAACCTTTCTAAAAAAATTACCTAAATATAATCTCTGTCTATGTACCTGGACATAAAAATAACGAAATATAACTTGCATACTGTACACAGCCGTTACGAATTCAAATTTTTTCATCAGATTAAATCTAATTTATTATGTTGTGCCGACCAGTTTCCTAACAACGTTACGAAATGTGAGAGTTAACCTGCTGTTATGTAAACTCCAAGATGCAGACAAGAATTTGACCTTGAACCTACAAATTGACTTCTATGTCTTAAGGCCAGCATAAATAACAGCTATCTCTCTATCTCTGTTTGTTCAAAGAATTCGGACACATCCTGTGTTTTCGCCGTTTCGTCCCCGACTACGGCTTCAGTCATGCACATTGTCTATCCGACCGGAAGTATTAGGCATGCATATAAAAAAGTTAGTCGCTTATTTGTAAATATATGGCTTACCGAAACTATACAATACACACTTGTATACACACATCGCTGGTGGAGGATCTCGCGTCATCATTCGTTACGTGACTAGAATAGCGTGACGTCACAGCACAAGGTCTGGTTTAAATGGTTTAGATTCAATAATATTGGGGTTAGAGCAGCCCATATCTGAGTTTGAAACAAATTGATACCTTCGGAATATATGGCTAACACAGTAGGAATAAATACCATAAGTAGGAGACTGTATTGTCTTGCGTTGTTTTATTCCCACGGAACTTGAACCAATTTACGGATCATTATAGGGTACAATGTATTTTTATTATTACTACTGACGAAATATTCCGTTTCGTGTTTTAGTTTGAGTCACTGGTAGGTGGAAATAAAAATATAAATAACTCGGTTTTGGCACTGTGCTCCTTGGAGTCTATATTCGGTTTCTGATTACAGCAGGGAATTCTACGTGTTGTGATGCTGCGCAATGAAAGATTTTCCTACTCTGAATGTTAATAGCCTCAACAAAAAAATTTGAGATTATGACTATTGGAAATTCCATATCAAAAGCAGACAATTCTTTGCGGATACATTGGTAGTAATCTATGCAAAATATATTTATTATTTAAAATTGTTGTTTCTCGTGAAGAAGCACGTACTGTTTAGAAGTTAACGTTGTTTTGGACATTTTTAAAATTCTTTCCTTTAATGCCTCGCACCCACTTAATACAACTACCAGAAATAAATACACCATTGACCTCGATTCGAAATCGGCTTTATCCACCGATCGGGATTTTCGATTTACATAATTGGGCCGCCACTCGGATCGTCAAAAGCAAATCGTAAAATTTTACTGCTGCACAATTAAAATTGAATAACCGTAGATTATTAAATATCGGCCTTATTTCTGCCAGATACCGTTACGCATAAATCGGAGCTACCGTTACGAGAAATTTAAAAAAACCGAAATCGTCGAGAGAGCGCAACGCGGCGGCAACGGCAAAGGTGAATGAATTCTGTAACAGATTTCGAAATCCGCCCAGTGTTAATGGCAGGAATCGGTTATGCCATGGGAGACACGATTTTGTGACATGCTGTACAACCGGTGCAACATTGTTGCCACACACAGGTGTTTCGGTTTTGACTTGGTCGAAACTTTGTTTGAGCAGCTCAACTGATTTTTTTTTTCTAACAACTGAAATTTATTTAAAATGGTATTCAGAAAATTATAGCATTTATTAGAAAATACATTCATGTTTTTACATTTAGGTTTATTTAATTGTTACAAGAAAATCCTTCATGCCAATTTAATAAGTTAACGAATACAGTTGTATATTTTATATGAAATCAGCTTCAGTTTGCTTTTCTTCAAAGACATAGGAAAAAGTTGCAGATATTTTGAGAACATATACATATCGGCCTAGTATTGTGACAACATGTTAGTACTTTATTAATTGAACAAATGATTATACTATATTATATAATACTGGCCCTAAATGTACCGCTGATATCGTATATCCAGAGATATAGTTTAATATTATTAAAATTATTTATGTTATGTCTATAATCAACAATACCCAAGTTCCCTGGTTTTCAACTGTGGTCTTCTGTTTCTAGACCAATACTCTAACTCAGACTGATAGAAATGATTCTGCGAAAAAGTACAAATGCCAGTTGAAATAAACTCTTTACGGTTTTATTATATTTTGTTTCCAGATGATCTACAGTACTGATATGTCACCTATCATATTAACTAAGAGTACATTAACAATTGGTGATATTTCTAGCACTGTCACTGAATCGTTAGTGTGAAGGAAAAGATCGTTCATCGAGATCTGGAATCGTAGAAAATCCACAAACCTGGCAACTCCGCTCCGGGGGAGCTTTCACTCATTCCCGAATTCACAGCCTTGTGACGTAAAAGTCAGTCATGCCAAACAATTCCCCGACTGTAACCAAACCGGTTTTGAGGCCTAGCCAGTCGAACGACTGGTTCTCGTAACGCCGATCTGCCTACCTACCTCTACCTGCTCGTTGCGTCTACGTCAGCGGCTTTCACAACTGCTCGCGTCCGTTCTCACTCTCCAAGATGAGTTTGATAGTTTTCTGCCTTACCTGCACCGGCCGACTGACTACATTGGCCCCATTTCGTGTGTACCGTTGTGTGACACCTTTGGAAGCGTTTTTTCCCTCTACACATTGGTCGGTGGATGTGTTTTTATTTATGGGCTTCCAGTTGTACCCCAGGCGAGTGTCAACGGGTGGGTTTCAGTATTTAGGTCGCTTGCATAATGCAGGGCACTAGTCTTCTTTTCTATTTTACCTTTTGTGTGACCTCAATGTTGTTTAAAGGTTCCTAACCCATATATTTTGTGAGAAAGTTCTGCTCTGCATTCGCGATAGGTACTGTGGGAATCTGGGAAGCTTACATAAAACTAGGATGTTCAGGACACAAATGAAAACATTTCAATCTCCCCAATATTCTCGTAAAACTTGTTTTACATTTATCAATTCTTCACGTTACAATAAATTATAGTCTTTCCGACGTCAGTTGAACATTTAAAAAAACGCCTGGCAATAAAATTTAATGACTCATAGGCGTCCCTAAAAAAGTTTTCTGCTAAAAGTAAAAAATTATAATAATTTCTATATGTGTAGAAAATTTCTATTGTATGTTCATTTGGCCACAAACATATTTTAATTATTTATGTCGTCAAACAATTTTATTATATTGATGGTAAATTTATTTTGTTCCGTGTCAAAAGGTCTCCAAAATGCCATATGTAATATTATTTCTCCCTTCCGCAATAGTAATATCAATGATTAATAGAAATTAAAAAATTACCTGAATCACACCAAATTCCGCATCACTGCACTGCACTGCTGGGCAATTTGTCAACCACTTGTCAACAGCTGAGATTCATTGCCCAGTGGCCCAATGCAGCTGTGTTTGTATTTCGTTTGCCTGCGCTGGCATTCTTCAACTGGGCGTATACATTTCTACAACCTCTACGTTCGACCAGACCTGTATATGGGTATGGCTAAATAAATACGGGAACAAGTTTTTCAAATATTTCAATGCCGAATTGTTGCATTAGCGACCGAACCTGGTACATACTGTCGACCTCTTGGTTCTTCAATTGATATCGGAAAGACTATTATAACCAAACAGTTATATACATTTAAAGCTACCAACATTTTGAATAAAAGTAAATTATGATAACAGCAAACCACAAACCGCAATAGACTTTTAACTTAAGCTATACTAACGACTGTAAGAATAAACGCGTGCCTATATTTAACCTGTTCTTTAAATATTCCAATGTCATTAAAATCGCCAAAATATGCCAATAAATCAAGACCGGTTCTCATCTCCAATTTCTTGAAATTAAGGAAATCACAGTACACAATGAAAATTCATTTTTCGTAGAAGCTTACATCTTTTTACAGTAGACATCTACCAACAAAAAAACAAAAATATAGCAAAAAAATACAAAAAACCGTTTAGGGTACTATTAGCTAAAAAATAATCTTTTATGTTGTACTATGCCAATTTCATTGAAATGTATTAAAAAGTGGAGTGAATTAAATAAAAAAATCCTTTGAGAAAACCCTTAATATTTTTATGAAGCATTTCACACTGGTGTATTTGTTTCGGTCAGAACATTTGGTTAAATTTTTTACACTATATGGCTTATTGTTAGTAAATATAAAAAAAATAAGTAAAAGATTTTACGAGTTGATTTTTTTTCGTAGCAGCTTCTATTTCAACATTTTTATATTTTTTGTGAAGCTTCGGAAATATTGATTGATTTGAAAAAGTTGTTCTACACTTTTTTTTTTTTTGCTTATACCATGTGGACCAGGGACAATAATTGTGATCTCGTAACGGCCTTATTGTCACGCGAGCCGCGATCTACTTA